TTATTTCCCTAGAATAAATTCCTAGAAGTGGAACTATAGGTCCAAAATATGGACACAATTAAGGAGTTTTGACTCCCATTGCAAAATCACCCCTTAAAAAGTCAATGCCAGTTTTCTTCTTCCATGGCAATACAGGGGTAGCCTTCTCCCCAAATATTATCATCTTTTCTGATTTTTTTCTGATTTGATAAGCAAAACAAAATCATCACTTTTATTTGTGCATCTTTAGTGACCAGGGAAGACAACATCATTCAGATTCACTTATTGTCTATTTATTATTATTGAGTGATCTGCTTGTTGATATGTTCTGTGCAGTTTTTCTACTAGGCTCTTTTGCTCCAAATTTTAAGAACTATTTACAAAAGATTAGCGCTTTTTAACTAAGGTTAATGTGTGTCACTGTTTTTTCAGTTTTGTATAAAATGTTTATGGTCACAAAATTTAAATTTGTATATATGTTCTCAACAACAAAATTGCATTCTGAATTTCAAATAACTGACTTGTTAATGGGCTTTTAAAATCCGTATTACCCATTATACCTAGGTATTTTATCATTTGCCTTAATATCTTTTCTGCATGTAAACCCCTTGAAGGCAGAAGTAGGACATCTTTTTTTTTTTTTTTTAATCCCCTATAACAACCAGTATACAGCCCAGAATACAGTGGAGCTCAAGACTGTCAGCTTGGGATAAAAAAAATATGTTGTCTGGGGATTTGCTTTGAAGCAATTCAGTTAGGGATGGGAGACGAAAATGATGTAAAGACGAAACAGAATTGGCCACGTGTCAATCATTGTTGGAGCTGGTGATGGGTACATGGAGTTCATTATGTTATTATGCCTACTTTTTTGTGTTTTAAAAAATTTCCATAATCAAAGGGTTTTTTTTTTTTCCTAAATGTGTATTTGATTGATTGGGCAACAAGAGAGGGAACTGCTGGGATAACAATGGTGATGAAAATGAAAGACACATGTATCAAGGCCACTTTTGAAGCACAAAATAGCACACAGACCCTGAAACCAGGCAGGCTGACTACAAACCCTTTCTGGCTCTGTGACCTCAAATTGTTATTCACTGCCTCTGAAACTCAGTTTCCTTTATGCATAAAGGTATTAATAACTACCTCAAAAAAGTCGTAGTGGGAGACTAATAGAAGGAAAACTCAGTGCCTAGCACTTGCTAGCACTCCATAAAGAGTCCCATCATTGTCATTTGGAGAGGCACATGCTTGACAAACTGCAGCCAGCACTTCCTGGTGGTGGCAAGCCAGCACCCTTCCATGATGGCTGGGATTTCAGTTAATCAGCTTGGGCACCAGACAGTCACTTGGCAGGGGATTTGGTTAGGCCAGATGTCAGGAATTATGCTCTTGATACCCAGAAGAGAAAACAGAACAGATCACAGTAAAGGACAGAGCCTGTAGCTCCTGACTTAATAGGTCACCAAAGAGTCATAACTTCCCATCCAATAATGCCATCAAGAAATGATAGTGGAGCTGGGTGCTGTAGCACAACGCCTGTAAACCCAGCAGCCAGGGAGGCTGAAGCAGGAGAATCGCGAGTTCAAAGCCAGCCTTAGCAACTTAGTGAGGCCCTAAGCAACTCAGCAAGACCCTGTCTCTAAATAAAAAATAAAAAAGGGCGGAGGATATGGCTCAGTGGTTAAGCACCCCTGGGTTCACCCCTCCCTCAGTACAGAAAGAAAGAAAAGAAACAAACAAGAGTGGAAATGCCCTTTCTAAGTAGCTTCAAACTTTGACCAAACACTGGCATTACGCAGGGAGCTCAAAAAATACGAGGCCTGGGTCACACTCCCAGAATTTGATTTAATGGTCTGGGTGAGACATGGACATGGACTAGGGTTTTGAGACTGTTAAGAATCTAATGTGATCTCAGGGCTGGGGGAGTTGTAGCTCAATGGCAGATCACTTGCCTAGCACGTGTAGGGCACTGCATTGGATCCTCAGCACCACATAAAAATAAATTTTTAAAAAAAAAAGAAAGGCATGCTGTCCATCTACAACTACAAAAAAAATTTTTTTTTAATTACAAAGTATCTAACGTGATCTAATGTGCAGTTTTAGTATCACTGCTAAGGAGGCAAATGAAGTATGTGTATGTGTGAGAGGGAGTTGGGATCCGGCCTAAGGAGGAAAGAGGACCAGGGGAAACAAAGGAAGAGAACAGAAGCCATAGAGTCCCATCTGAACCCCATTAAAGTCTCAGCTCAGTCATGTGGTCTCAAGCTGTGTCCCACACCAGACAAACCCAATCCCATTAGACCCCATCATCCCCTCCATAAACTTCAAGAGAGTGTGTAATAATTCCCAGGGCTAAAATATGTTGTTATTAACACCAGGATGTGTACATGTCAATATTCTAAGGAACATTAACGAAATGCAGCTTGACTCTGGGTTTTGGTCTAAGGAGGAGGAAAAAAAAAAAAAAGTCCAGCTAAGTGATGACGAAGGGGAGGGAAAGAGAAAAGCATTTTGTCGCCGGCACTCTCCAGCCGCCTGTCAGTGGGACTAAAACGCCCTCAATGAGGCAGTCTCATTTTATAAAGCTATTGCAGCATTTTTGATCAGGAGGAAGGCACATCCATTCAATCACTTGAGCTGGGATTGGCTGTTGTCTGGCTATCTGTCTGCCCACCGGGGTGAGCCAGCTGGGCCTGAGGACACATGGCAGTCCAATAATGGAGGGGTACCCAGCGTCTGTATAACCTCTGCTGGGCTCCCTGGGCACTCTCATTTAGCCCTTCATCCTGGACTCATCTGGAAGTTCTTTTCCTTCAGCAAACACCACCTGGTCTGCCTGGCCTCACCAAAACAAAAGCTGGCCAGCAGGCTCTCCCAGGCAGCAAACATTTCAGAATCAGGAGGGCAGGGGTCAATTGTCCTCATGAGCAACACACCAAGATTGCACAAGCCTAGAGAAGGCAGAAAACAACCTCTGTGGACTCTACCCTCCTCTCAATCGCCTCTACCCCCTCTCATCTGAGAAGGTCTGAGTTCCTCCCCCAGATGTGAAGCTTAACAATGCAGTTCAGAATGTATACAAAAGATTTCGTACATTCTTTTTACTAAAATAAATAATTAAAAACTGATTTCCACTTTGCACATGTACAAATACGTAATAATGAATCCCACCATTATATAAAATATCCCTTGTAATCCCTAAAAAAAAAAAAAGTTGAGAAATTGAAAGAGTTTAGCAATTTCCAAACTTGGGGAGTTTCAATGAAAGATCTTAGGATTTTGTTTTCTTTTTTTCTTTAAGTGGTATCATTCATAAAAATCTTAGGAAGACCTGAATAGTAGAA